TCTCTTCCCTCCACCCCCTTCAGCTTTCTCTAAGGCTTTGAGGCATCTCCTACTTCAGAAGCAATAGGAGAGCTGTTTGAGGTGTCCTAACCCGTAGTGTTATCAATCCAGTTCCCCAATAGCTGGGGCAAATAAAATCCAAATAAGATACTAGAGACTTAAGAGACAAAGAGAGTGGATTTAGGATTGCCTCATTTGGATGTCCTCCATGTACATTTTTAGTCTCTCCCACCTGTATCATGTAGATATGTTCCATTATTTAGGAGTGAGAAATTACCCATCTGCTGCACTATTTCTTTTGCACATTTCTTTCTGTTTTTAACAATAGAGACCTTATGGGGCATTATGGTGCCTGGTTACATACTGCATTTGGAGAACGAGAGAGAGGTCTGTAAAGGTTAAGAATTCAGTTACGGAAGGAGTACAAGGTGTTCCACATAACATAGTATGTTCTTGAGATTTTACTGTACTTTTATATCGCTGCTCAGTTTTTGCATTGCATGTTTCCAGGAGAATAACACCCAAGTTGCCTTTCTCACGGCAAAAGATTGCACCATATATGAGTGCTGAGGACGTACAATGACCATACATCACGGATGGGACACGTGCCTGGCTCTTCTCTTCCTCCACAGAGGGAGAGAAATGTAACTTGGCATTCACTTTATTACAGTTGCTCTGCACAACGAAGTGACCGAGTCCATTTGTCAAAGTGCTTTCTACTTGACTTAATAAATGTCCTCTACTTACTGTCTGTGTATGATCTAAAGGGCTACGTCCTGGGTGAAATTCGAAATTGAAAGCTAACTCGGTATCGCACTGAGAAGTCTAGCCTTTGCTTTCTCTGACAGCTCAGGAGACTCAGAGAGCTGGAAACTTTCACCCGTTAGCTGGTGATAGGTGGTGTGGCTGTAGGAGCGGGCAGGAGCTAGTAAGAGCAGAATTTGCACGTTGGATTTTGAGCTTAAGCTTTGATTTGATTTGGATTTTTACCCCCCAAAAAAATCTTTTTCTTTTAAAAAAAAAATCTTTTGATCTTTCATCGAAGAATTTTACAATAAATGAAATCTTACAGATTCCTATAACATCGTTAAAATTTTAAAGTTGTTGCTTTCTACTGCAAATGTTATTTTGGAGTGGAATTCTTATGTGTCGCCACATACATTAGACGACCTGCACATCGTAAGGGATTTTTTCCGAGTTCAGATCTTTCAGCTGCTGGATTGAAAACAGAACCAAAATACCATTCCTTGTGTCAGCCGTGCAGGGTGGTTGGTGGGAGAGGTGTGTGGGAGGGTTACAGCTGCTGGATGGTAGACGATTCCTCCGATTCACTTTCCCTCTACCTGTTTTGAGAGTATCTGCTTGCCAGGGCTCTAATGTCCCTTGTCTGGTGTGTTAGGACGACCTGTTTTGTATTGCTTTCCTTCCAAGATGCTTAACTTGTGTATGTTGAAAGAATCATGTGTTTTATTGGTAACAGAAGGATTAGGTATTGTGCATATGCCCTGCTTTGCATAAGGCCGCAGTGAGTAGGCATCAGTGCTTCGGTTTCTTCATTCTCCTAAAGAAGAAGCTGATTCAATTAATTAAAAAAAAAAAAATTCCAATTACCTGTGTATTGCTTTTTGTTTGCACAACAGTTAGGTTGTATAAGGAGGTCTCTAGTTTGTGAATTGATTTGGAAGACTTTCTTTTATTTTTGAATACTGCGTGGTGACCTAGTTAATTGGGAGTAATTACTGTCTAAATATATTGGTTTAACATAACAAAAGGCTGTCTGGAAAAAAACAGGGAAGGGAAAGAATGGCTCAAGATAAACCACCTCTTTGCAAACGCTTAAGAGTTGTTAAGGGACATCTCCAGAGCTATTAGCAGAGAAGGTTTTAACTTCACTATTGTAATTTAGCTCCTGAGGCTTGAAACAAAGCAGCAGAGCAAAAGAATTCATCTGAAAAGGAACACTTTCTCTGGTTCTGCGGGTAGGATTTTGTTGGAAAAGCACCTGAACATGTAAGAGTCATGGGATGGCCCTGGAGAGGAAGGGGGTTCATAATACGGATCTATAATAATGTGGAGCTATAACCTTTATTTGCTGCCTTCTCCCCTCTCTCTTTCCAGGATCTTGCTCTTAGGACTAAAATTGAGGACTGTTTTGGTTTTAAGTAGGCTCACTGGGTCACTGGGGTGACTTCTGATTGCAGGCTTTTTCCTTGAGTTTGAGGCTAAATCCTGTCAGACCTGCTTTGTAAGTACGGCTGAGCCACAGACTGTTGCAGTCCAGGACTGCTCTAAAAATGGAAAAATTGCTTAATTTAGGAAAGGTAAGGAGGGCCTGACACCTGGAGGGCTATGTTAAGACAGACATGTATGGCCATCCCTGTAATTAGCAGAGATCAGTCATGTGAATTACACTGGCTAGATTTGGCACGCTCATCTTCATTTCGAAGTTGTTTGGTTTATAATAGTAATTTATCTCATATGGCAGAGAGCAAAGGGCTAGTGTGGTGCAAGTCACACCTGGGAGGAGTAAAATAAAGCAGGCATGGATGTGTAAGCAGAAGCCTTTAGACGATAACCCCTTCCTCTCGGAGGTCTAGCTCTTCGTTCCTGCCCCTGCAGTATCTGCAGTTGGTGCTATGCAATTACAGCTGGGGCACAAGGGTAAAGACCTAAAAAAAAAAATTGTGTGTGTGTATATATAATATATACATATATATGTATATATATATAAAAAAATACAAGTTTCAGGGCCTTGAGTGTGTTGACCTTGAAGCCATCTCTCTCATTAAATGCTCGCATTTGCTTGTGAAGTCCACTAATACTGTGCCTGTAGTAGAAAGGCAGAGCGGTAGGGTGTGCTACTTAGTCTCAAGAACCTGCAAATAATCAGGCTGCAAATAGTTTGCCTCTGCAAATGGCACTCATTTTCCCCAAGCAAAGTACTGCATTCAAACCAATACTTGGGTTTTTTGGGGGGAGGGAAGGAGGGGGAGCACTGTCTCTTGGAAGGAGTGGAAACAAAGCTAGCAGTGCTACGTTGCTGGCTTTGCTGGTTGTGTAAGCAGAGAACACGACTAAAATGTGAGCGCTGTGGGTATCTCTTGCAGCAGAGCGGTGCCATACGGCCTCTCAGTGGCTATCTCTTAGGGTTGTCTGTGTCAAAGAACTTGAACTTAAGTCAGATTTGCTTTGTCATCCTGACTTTGGCCCTTGCCACTTTCAATTTCTCTTTAGTTTCTGGAAGCTTCTTTTTAATTCTCTTGTGGGAAGGCCAAGATGTATCTGAACGTGCAAAAGGGCTCACCCCCAACAAAACCCGCTGCACGTTGATCAAAACGGTGGGAGCAGGAAGGTGTGTTTGTGACTACCTGATCACAAAAGGGTGGCAAATCTGTTTTTCAGCATGTGTTCTTTAGTTAGTTTTTAACTAAACGCTGCGGAGGACTGGAGTTGTTTCCCAATGGCAAAGCAAGCAATGAAATATGACACAGGGAGGGGAAGAGAGTTGGCAGAGGGCCTAGGTGCACAAATAGCCCACTACCTTTTGAAGTGTATTTGCAGCCAAGCAAACAAAAAAGCAGCGCAGGCTGCCTTACAGAGAATTACAGCAGAAGTCTTCCCCTTGGAACTTTTATTTTTTCCTCTCAATGTCAATAAACCGTCATCACTGCTGATTCCAGAATCATAACTCACAAGATGTTGTGGTATGTCTGAAAATGTGTTTCAGGATTAGGAAGAGAAAGAGCTGCGTTGCTGTCTTTTGCAGCTCTTAGAATACCTTTTGCCTCGGATTGCTGTGATACAGGAAGAAATCGTAGTGAAAGCTAAACTCTGGATGATAGCGTTAGCTGGTTGAGCGAACAGGAGCCTCTTGGCACAGCCCTGTTGCGAGTTATGTAAATCTTGTGCAGTGTATAAGCAACAGGCGGTTGGTGACGTAAAACTGAGCATTTGTCTCTATTTATTGGCTAATGTAACATGCACCCTTCCTGTAGCATTTGACTGAGCTGGTTGTATTAAATATAGCCCTGACACTCCTAAGTAGAAAATGCCTCAAGCTGAATAATGGCTTCTGGTCTGAAATTCATTGTTCTAAATGTGGAAGTCTTACACGGTGGCTCTTTTGTCTCCCCTTCGTGTCGAAGTCCGTGCCGTGTTGATGGCAAAAGGCCTCGCTGTAAGCCTCAGTTTGCTGAATTTGCCAATCGATCGCCGTGGCCGTGTTGTGTAGAACATTCCTCCAGTGCCTCCTAACGCAGTGGCTCTGCTCTGGGAGACTTAGCAGGATGTCAGTAACTCCTCTGGTGATTATCTTCTGTCATTCGTGATGGATTACCAAACTGATACATCTGTTGTTTAGGTCCTCTCCCACTCGACCCCGTCGCAGGTGGCTCACAGATCTGCCTAATACTGCTATTACACCTCATTGACCCAAGCTCCAGTGCTATTAGCTACTACACTTTGGGTCCCTATGTTGTCTGTGAGGAGAAAGCAGTGACACTTCTCCTATGCAGTTCTGATTTTATCCAGAATGTCTGATTTATTTATTTTTTTTTCCCCTTGAACAGTGTAGGAATTGAACAGGAGGCAGTTTCTTTGCTCACCGTTTCGAGCCCCTTTCCAGCTGGCAAGCAGTCCAAAAAGCCCTGTGTTTGCTCTTTCTCAGGGTCATGCTGCAAATGTTTCTCTTGCTTTCACCTTGGCTTTCTGGCTTTGGTTTAGACATATGACACTCCACCGCACAATACAAACCCTCAGTATATCACTGTACCCATATAGTGCAGCTTCTGACCAGCCTCTTGCATGGCTTTGTTTTAGGTGGTGGTTCCCAGTTCTTGAAGGTTGTTTGGGTTTTTTTTTCTGTCCTGCTCAAAAAAACAACACAGATTTTTGTAATCGTGAATAAAAAGCAGTTGTGCCCATTGCTTTTGGTGAGATTTTACTCATCTCCATTCTCACAGCACCTACTCACAACATGTAAATTAGGGCCACAACCTCACAGGCATGCGTAAACAGAGGAATTACATGACTTGCCAAACACTTACGTAATAACTTAATAGTATATCGTGGAACGCCGGCTAAGACTCATGAATCCTCTTCCTGTTTGCTCCTCTTTTCAAATTAATTATTGTATGAGTTTCAGCTACACCACGACTCGGGAATCGATAGCATTTGTGGCTTTCTGAACGTCCTTAATATATCACAGACTTCCACTGTCATTTGTCTTTATCCAGTAAGAACTTTTGACTCAGAGGGTTTATAAGTTCCTTTGAGCTGTGACTATCCAGAGCTGAGCAGGCACTTTAATGATTAATAAATAGCCTTAGAGTACTCGTGGCTCATACATGACCATATGTTTCAAAAGCAGCAAGGTTCGAGTTATTATCCGTAGCTACTGATGCCCTTTGGCCCTGAGAGTTATCATAAGAGCCTTCTTTGTGTTTTGTTCGTATTGTGCTTCTTTGGACCTTTTGTGCCAAAATAAAACGGCGACGTTCACTCCTTTTGAAATTAGCTCAGGAAACAAGGCTGGTATAAAGAAACCGCCCTGTTGTTTACATGCTGCTGCGTAGCACTTCCCTCAGTATCTCTTTAACTTTTCGGCAAATTTCATAAAGAGCTAATGGGGTAGAGGTCTCCAAGACTTTTAAGTCCCGCAATTTCCAGTGAAAGTAAGAAGCAGAGTAGAAAAGTGGTCTAAAATAGTGTCCCTGGCAAGTAAAATGCTATATTTTGAGCTCTGTTATCTTGGAGAATCCATGTGTGATAGAGATAAAAGCTTTAAAAAAAATGTGAGCAGCAGAGCTAATATAGTCTGGATAATATTTTTGCTTAACTGTTTAGGATGACGTATATAAACCTGTGAAAAAGACCTGAGCCACCTGTACTTTAGGTTGTAATCTGCTTTTTTGCTTTCTAGGAATCTACAAGCCGCCATTGGAGCCTACTATGATTTCGAGAGTCCAAATATCAATGTACCCTCCATGTCCTTTGTTGAAGATGTCACCATCGGTGAAGGAGAGTCCATCCCTCCTGATACCCAGTTTACAAAAACATGGAGGATACAAAACACAGGTAAGGCTTTTAGACGGTAGCGAAACCCATGTAGCGTGTGTTATGTGATAGGATGGCAGATCTAATGGAAGAGATGCTGGCTTAAGGCAGTAGGTTCGTGTGCACGTAACTTGGAATAGAGCCACCCTGCTACTGAAGGAGGTAGCCTGCCAACCTATGCGTGTTCCCCTCCTTATGTCGGCACGAACGTTTTGTGGCGAGATGCACAGCTCGGTCAGTTCCCCAGTCTTGTTCTTTGTGCCACCACACAAACAAAAGCTCTAGGAAACTTCTGTAAGAAGACGCAGGTGAAAGAAATTGAAGTGCAAGGTTTGGGGCTTTTTTGGTTTGGGTTGGGTTTTTGTTTGTTTGTAATGGAAGTAGTTAGATCTGAAAATAGGTTAAGAATCCTTAGCTAGTCATGTTTCCGATCACTTGATGCAAACAAGTGGAATACATTTTTAAGTCAGTGAAGAGATCCCTTTTAATCTCAAAGCCTTTTAGCTCATCACCAGCTGTATATTACCACTACCCTTCATCACACCATTTCTCTGAACGTCCCTGTCGCTTGGTCATTCAGCTCTCTATAGAACTGTGTTCTCTGTGGAGGCAGTGATGGAACGATCTTAACTCTGAGAAGAGGTAGCCGTGCAAGGGTAACATGGCAGGTACCCTTTACTTTTTAATCCACTTTTGACAGAATTGCTTTTTTATGCTCTGAGAGGATGCAAAGCTGGAGGGACCACATTCCAGTGTCAAAAAAGACAAAACAGTGACTGGAATCCAGGAAGTGAGACTGGGCAAAAGACATTCTCAGTGCTTGATCTGTTAGGATGCAGTCAGAGAGAAAAATGAGATCCGTGGATGCAAAGCGGAATACCTTGTCTTCACGTGTTGCAATGACAGGATGTTGCATGAATGTTTAAGCTGTGTGTCTGAATTGAATTGACCTGCTTGCACTTTTGTGAAGAAGAATGATAGCACAACAAGGTACAATATCATGAATCATCATGAGTAAAGTTCAGCTGTGTTAGTATTTCTCCTTGTAAATAACTGCAGTACTCAAGTGCTGTTCAGAGACTAAACAGAGACTAGACTAGAGACTAAAACCATACTAAAAATCTAGGAGTATTTCATCTAGGACAGGAGAGGTGAGGAGAGGGGGTGTGTGTGTGTGTTTAAGAACACTAATTTATGAAGACTGTATTCTAGAGAAAGGGCTTAATTATTTCAGTTTACTTTTTCTAGCTCTATTTGTTTGACTTGTACAATGGAAGGGTGATGTGTATAGCTTGCTTAAACTCCAGTAATGTGAAAAATTGACTGGCAATTTTTTTTATAACTGCGTCTCAAATACAAGTCTCACAAATGTAGTAAGTTTGACAGATCTTGTTTGTCCACTATTAGTAACTTCATTTGCGTGTGTTATGACTACACCCCTATCTTGCTCCTTTCAGACTCCTTCCTCTCCTGTTCCTCTGATGTACTCTTTCCTGCATGCAAATGCAGCCCTAATTTAACATCCTAGTTCAAGCAATGTTTCATTGTTCTTGGAATGTTTGACCTTCTGAAATCCATGGGTCTTCTAAAATGAGGAAAGGGAGTTAATCTTGGCTTACGAGTTCCTGGCAAGGCCAACATTTGTTTTGGCTTCTGTGTGGGTTAAAGCCTGACTTCTTAAAAAGTACATCTGTACTCTAACAGTGGTGATGGAGGCCAGATCTTGTTAAAACCATGCTGTTGAGGCATGTTTTGGTTAACTGCAACTTCACATACTGTGTTATGACTGTGCAGTTTAAGGAGGACCGTAGCATTTTAAAACCATTTCATGGTTTAAGGTATAATATCAAAGGACTGTAGTGTTTCTAGATAATATCTGCTTGTTAGGTAGATAACTGAAGCAAAGCCAAGGTTTTTAACAGCTCTACAGGAACCCTTGATTAAATGACTTCAGTTCTAGAACACGACATACCTGAGGCATGTGTCACCAAAGTGTTTAGTGTCTTGACAAGTATGACAAGCAGAGCTCTGAGAGATTGTCAATTTTAAGCATGCAAGCAGTAAGCTAGGTTCAGTCAGGTTTTCAGATGTGTTATTAAAAACTAATACCCTGCTCCGATACCTTCCAGGACGGTGCTTGGCTTGTCTGCCAAAAGACCAGTTTGTATAGTAGAACCGTTGCTGAAAGAGCAGCAGGATTTAACAGACTTATTTCCTCTTCCCACTCTACCCCCAGCTGCTGCTGGCTCTGCAGGACAGTTACTACAATTTATCATCTCCTGAGAGATGAGTGTACTGAAATAGAATGACATAATCATCATTTCATTTTATGGGGCCTATCAGTTGCAGCATTCTAGGCACCTTGCAAGCCTAAAGCCATTAAAACTGATAAAAATCACATAAATTACTTAAACTGAACCATGTTGCTGGGCTGCCAACCTTTTCAGATGAGACTTCATACTCAACTCCCGCATGCCGGAGTCTGAGGTCAGCTGGTCAAGACCTCCCTATCTCAGCACTGTTTCCAGTTGCAGTGATATATACCCCCCCCCCCCGAATATTCCACACTACTTGTTCACATCATGCCTTCCCTGCTAGATTGTGAATTCCACAAATAAGGACTTGACTAGAAAACCAGTCCCTGCCATGTCTTCACTGAAGCATCCGCAGGGATTAAATTAGCAGGCAAGCTGTTGCAAAGGATGCTCTTTGCGGTAACCTAAGGTCAGATCAGCATCCACTGCTCTCGTCTCAGACTAGACATAGAGTGGTTCCAAGCTTCGTGGTGGTTCAGGCTTTCCTTAGCCATTTCCGTCGACCTCAACCAAGCCGGAGGTATTCTCAAAGTCATTGGCTTAGTCATGTCACATTACTGGGGAAGAAGCAAGAGAAAATTCTGCTGAACTGATTTTTCACGAGTCTCGGAAGCACTTTTCTTTTTGTCTGATCCAGTACTTGTTATCTTTGGCAGAGATGGCTGTGCTTGCATGCAGTAACTGTTTTCTGTATCTCTACAGGTTGCCAGGTCATGCTGTCAATCCCAGTATCTGCAGTCTAAACATTGATCTCCACAAATAAATCATACGTTCACAATCCCTTCCACCTTTGCACAAGGCTGAGAGAAGGGATGGTGCAACAAGGGAAATAAATCCATTTAGAAAATAGTACTAGCTCTTCAATTATAGTTCAAACTATTAGCTCCTCCCGAGACTGCTAACAGGCTTTAAAAAGAACGAATCCCTGAAAGAAAATGTTTCCAGCACTTTGTATTAATAACATGTATTTTGATGTCACAAGGCTCAGGACCTACATGTAGGAAGGCAGAAAGAAAGGAGGGGGGGGGGACCCCACCTAGATCTGACCTCATCTTTGTCTCCAGCCTTGGTAAAATACGTGTGCGTCGGTTATGTTGATTTTTTTTTTTTTTCAGCTGTTACACTGTGACTTTGAGAATTTTTCTGTGTAAAGAAGACCCAGAGATTATTCAAATAGAAATATAAATTGTCCTGCTGGTCTCTAAACGGACCAGTTAAGCCTTGTCTGAAAACTGTATTCTTCAGCATCCATTGCTGGCTGTGTTATGTGTATCTTGGTATTCCTTTGACCGTTCAACAATCGCACGACTGTTTTAATAAGCATGTTTCATCCAGTCTTACACAAACAGACACAAAGCTTTTTCTGGTGCACTGTCAGTAATTCTTTCTTCTGTTTAATCCCAGGGACAGAGGCATGGCCCCCGGGGGTTTGTCTGAAGTATGTCGGGGGAGACCAATTTGGCCACGTAAACATGGTGATGGTCAGGTCCCTGGAGCCCCAGG